TGAGAGAGCTTCCTTCAAACCTTTTGATTTGTGTTTAATTTAAACTAGCTTTTCACTCAAAGCACTTCCACTTAACAGCTGCAGGTCATATCTACTCAAACTTTCCCTGCACTTTTCAAAGGATGACAACTCCTTTCAAAGACAACGACATTTGTGCCAGACGGAGGCTCCCTGCCAGGCTTGATGGAGGTGCTCGGAGCTTGGTTTGCAGGCACCTAGGTTCACAGGGCTTCAATCGGAATGGATGCTCTAAGAGGCTCACCTGCCAGGTGAAGGCCTCTCTCAGCAAACAATCCACACAGATACTTTTAGGAAGCAGCAGCTGCCCAAGACCATGGGGGAAATGTAATTGAAACCAAAGAACTCCTTTGATCACAACCATGCAGGAAAGCATTGTTTGCAAAGAAGGATGAGCCCAGGCAATCTGTCCCAAAGCAGCGCAAAGGGCATTCCCCACAGCAGAGAAGGATTCATCAACTGAAGGAAGAGACTGGTAGCTCACCGGCAGATTCCCAAAGTAGGCTTGCACACCAACAGCTGATCAACATGTACACACAGAGCACAGATTCATAGAAATCCAACCCATTATCTTGATTTAGGCGTATGAGATGCATATGGAAACAAAAAAGACATGCACAGCTACTACCAATCAAAACTGATTAAGTTGGTAATGGAAGCTAACAGGTAGAAGAGTTCTCAGCCATGACAGCTGGAACAATGTGTGGCAGATAAAGAGTCCCACACTCAGCCAGACCTTCCATGGAGGCAGAACCCATCCAACTCTTGCAAGTCCCATCTAAACGTAGAAGTAGTTCAGCCAACAGACACATGCACACACATATACGGTATTAAGGGAAAATATTTTAGATTAACAAGATACTGTTTGTAAGCAGGAGCACCCAACAGCAACTAAAAAGATAAGCAGCCAAAAGTTATCAGAACTATCACAGTCCAGGATAAAGGGTTGAAAGGGAAAAGCCATCCACTAAAATATAATGATAATAATAATAATAATAACAACAACAACAATAATAATACTAATAATAATAATAACAACGCTTTATTTGTACCCCGCTACCATCTCCCCAAGGGACTCGGGTGCGGCTTACATGAGGCCGAGTCCAAACACAACAATACAAGCAATAATAACAACAATACAAGCAATTAAAATAAAAACATCGACAATAAAATATACAACATATCAATAAGAAAACACACAATTAAATATCCCAACTGCAGGGCCATAAAAGAGCCAAAATTCACCTCTACCTTCACCAAGCTGCTCTTTCTATGCCTTGCAGGTGCAAAGGACCAAAATAACCAGAACACATACACATATTCCATTTATTTAATTTGTATCCCCCCTTTCTCTTGAGATGAATGGGATCCACATCAAATCGTTTAAGAAGCACTGCTATAGATCAGGCATGGGCAAATTTTGGGCTTTCAGGTGTATTGGACTTTAACTCCCATAATTCCTAACAGCCTACTGGCTCTTATGAGTTATTGTGAGAGTTGAAGTCAAAAACACCTGGATGGTCAAAGTTTGCCCATGCCTAATCTAGATACACTGCTTCTTAGGCTAATACTGACTAGGTAACTGAAATGAATTTTCCTTCTCTCTCTCTCTCTCTCTCTCTCTCTCAATACACACACACACAAAGACAGTGTTTGAATGCTAAGTGGTATACATGTGCTGGGGGCTATTGTATTTCAGAAGAAAGGCCCTACCTACACAAAGATCAGAAAGGATATTGAGCCAAGCCAGAAACCTCTGGAGCTCCTTCAAGCCAACTGAGCATATACCACATGAGCTTTGGTTCAGTGCTTCCTGGCAAGTTATGTTCAAAGGAAGATTGCCTGAGCCTTACTTCAGAGGACAGGAGCAGGATTCAAAATGATCTTGACAGATTAGAGAGATGAAGGGCCAAAACTAACAA